GTTAGAAGTGAAAAGCGACTTCATAATCACTTGTAAACAACAATAATAATAATAATAATAATCCGTAAATTGGAGATTTTGTATTAAAATCGTTCATTTCGTTTTCACCACTGACTCGATACCATGAAACCGTGATGTTTTTAGACCAGATTATCATACCGGGGAAAATTTCAGCACTTTATCCCTGAGTGTGTTTACATGTGCAGTAATAACCCGATTATCATCTGATTTCTGCAGGTTATTAAGCGGCCACGCAAACAGCATTCTGTTCTACGGAACTGGATTAAACACCTCCTCAGATTACACAGAAGTTGAAAATGGTCTCGCAGAACAGGGAGAGTTTTTTTTTTATATTTAACTCGGTTTGTTATTCAGGGCACGATTCCCGGGTTGAGTAACAGAAGGGCACTTTATCGGATTTTGATTTACGTCACACTCTCGGTAGACGAACCAAAAGTAGAACGTGGGAGTTTATCGGTTCGTTTAAATGTTTGTTTGTTTTCAAATACATATTCATTACGAACATTCAGGTAGTGCTGGAGAAGGTGAATGTGTACTGGTTGCTATATTATATACCGCATACAGCCGCATACGTTTGTGTTAATGGTCCTAAAATCCTAAACAAGCAGGTTAAAGGACTGGACAAATCCGTAGCCTGGACTCTCAGGACAAGCAGATTCTGTGTTTTCTTGAATTTCCCGGTTGACTTTTTCAAAAGTTTTCATTTTGTGTGTGTGTGTGTGTGTGTTTTAACATAACCTGCTTTATGTAACTATTCGCTTTGTAAATCTTGCCGCCTGCTTCACTACACACATCACCGATCTTACACGACATGGCGGACGGTAGAAAGATTAATGTTAGGATTGCGGATTGATTAGCATACGCTGATGACGGACGATTTATTATTATTTTTTCCTCGAATCGGGAACAGTCAGGTACGTGGAAACAACAATAACGGAAACAAAACGGAAAAATAAAATCGGTTTATATCAGAGAAATATCTTTTACGTGCGATGTGAGGTCAGAACAGAAATATTTCCAAGAATCGTGATTGATTGGATTGATTGATTTATCATACTGTGCCTTTTTTTTTTTTTTTTTTGGTTACTTTTTTTTGCCACCTCTAGCCTGGACGCTGTTGAAAACCGCATCGCCGTTTCAGACGCTTCTGCTCGGGAACTGAGTCAACCAGACGCAGACGATTTAAATAATTAGAATGAGGAGCTCAGAAAATTCGCTTCAGCCTGTGCGTAAGACTTTCTGAATACGCAGAACTTTCCTCGCGTAAATATTGACATAACCTCCTTTCTTGCTTTGCTAACCGTCACCTCACAGCTTAACAAATTGAAAGAGAGACACTAGCCAGACTTGAGTAATATCCTTTACGTGCGATGTTAGGACAGAACACCTCAGCGCAGCCAAACCGCTGTCAAGGGCGCAGATATAACGTGCTACAGTAGAAACGTTGTTCCAAGAAGATAATAATCATGAATGCGTATTAACGCACTTTAACTAGCTAACTAGCTTGCAGTGTGTTATTATATTACGCTAGCTAGACCTTTATATCCTCATGATTTAATTTTACTGGCAACAAAACGCAGGAGTGAAGCTTTTACTCACCGGGTGGACTAGCTAATAAATAATTTGTTATATCACACATGATGATGCCGTTTAAAACCAAAGTTTTTTTTTTAAATAATGAAGAAAGAACCAGATTTGTCCACATAAGTGCTGCGAGTGGTATCAGGTTCTTCTGTGATTTTTCAGTAGATTTTTCACATCTGTCTAATCCCTGAATCATCTCATTTTCGGTCTCTTTTGCACAATCAGGAACTCGAGCGTTTTTTAAAAAAAAAAATTTTTTTCTTCTTCCTTGAGCCACGTTTTCGAGGAAAGGCTTCTGTCTTCAGATCACGCCGTCGTGTCGTTAGATGCTCTAGATTGTAGAGATGAAGATGGAGATGGTTGAAATGCGTATCTTAAGAAAGCACTTGTGCGTTTTCTGAAGAAACTCAACATCCTTTGATGTCTGCTTTGATGTCTGGGGGAAAAAAAAAAAAACCCACGTGTTCGGCGCGCGTCTCGTCGGCGTGTGTCTCGCCAGCGTGCGGTGTGTCGTGTGTTAATCTGCTGTCACACAGCTGCATGTTAGGAGATAATCCGAACAAAAAAAAAAAAAAGCAAACTGCACACTTTCCATTGCATATCGGTTACAAAATGCAGCTCTGTTACATGATTAGTGCCAAATGAAAGATTAGATTAAAAGCCTCGTTCAATCAGACGTGCTCATTTTCATTTAAATGCTCTGATTTAATATTTAATATTCTTTTAAATGCTTTCAGCTCTTACAATGGTTAAATAATTCAACGTCAGTCATGATAAAGCTATCAGAAGGAGTAGTACATAAGGAATAAACCACTCCGGGGGCATGTTGTTGTAGGAAAGTAATAAATGACAGGGTGGTGTGATGAAGTGGCGCTCCCATTACCACTCCGGAGCTGATCGTTTTCCAATAACAGCACGTCCTGAGGTGTTTTATTCCCCTTCTACCGCAGCGGTTTGCGGTTTGTTTAATTATTAAAGCGTGACGCATCATGCTTTTTTTCCGTTTATAGTTACATTTAACGCCCAAGAACTAGTTCGTTCTTATACTCGCGCCTCTCTTCCTGAAGCTAATAAGACAAACCTGTGAGTACAGAGAAACGCCGTTATTAAAGTTACAGCTTTACGTCTGACTGTTACGAAGCGCCGACGCTGGAGACTCCTTCCATACACGTTCCGTAAACGTCTCCTCACCGAACACGTCACGTCACCGTGTCAGGGAGGACGCCGCGCTGTGGTGGAACAGGCACCGTAAAGCTCCCGTGCCGCTCGGGGGACACCCGCGCTCTCTCTCTCTCTCTCTCTCTCTCTCTCTCTCTCTCTCTCTCTCTCTCGTCCCACACGGTGGCGCTTTAAAGCGTTCACATGTCCGGTGTCTGGTTTCATCTCTTCCTGTTTAATCCTCCACTTTTCACCGAAAAGGCTTCCTGATCTTTCATCCCCTGGACTGGCGAGTTCATGTTAGCGATTCAGCGGAAAGGACAGTTCGGGACACACGGTGAAAAAGAAGGACAGGATGAAAACTGATGGGATTTAATTGTAATAATCTTTATTCAGATGATGAAAAGTCATTCCTTTAACCTGCTCCACAAACTGGAGTGAACTGTTAAAAACAAAACGAAAAAACCCCCATAAAATTCAGAACTGCATGTTTTCGTCGTTTCTTTTAGGCACCATTTTTGTTCGCGTTTTACAGCAATTGTATAAAGAAATCTTTTTGAACTTTTTTGGTCCGTTTCTTTTTTTTTTTCTGATATTTCCAACTAATTAGCTGTCAGTACTCTTTGATATTTTAGACATGTTTGTGCTGGAAATCATTTCAGAAGGTGTGTGTGTGTGTGTGTGTGTGTGTGGTGTGTGTGTGTGTACACTAGACTCCAGTGTGATTTATTTCAGTGCTCATCATCTTCTCATCCGTGCATCATCGTGTTTTTTTTTTTTTTTTTTTAATAATTGTCTGTGTGTGTCTGAGATTCTCATTAGCGTGATATCTCCAGAACGAGCCGTTGAATGTCTGTAGGATTTGTATGGAATTATCATCGTAACAGCAGATGAACTAATTAGATTTTGGAATTGATCCAAACAGGGTCAAGGTCACAGCAAGGTCAAATGTCTGAAATCGGTTTTCTTCAATAGCTTCCTTGCTGGTTGAAGTAGATTCTTAAGGCGCATACAAATTACTAACAATAAGGACGGAGTACTTTGGTGGCGGAGGAATTAAAATTGTTTATTTTTATTTATTTATTTATTTTTATTTATTTTTTTTTTTTTTACATTTTCTCTCCTAACAACGCTATTTCCTTCTTCAGCTTGCATTTTCTATCCTTGTTTTTTTTTTTTTTTTTTCTTTTCCTTTCTTTCTTCTTTCTTCAGGCTTTAAAGCGAGTGCTTGCACGGAATGGCGGTGGTTTAGACTTGGGCAGAGCGATATGCCGATTATAATGAAATTATTGTGATAAATTAGCTTTTCATTATATTTGGGGGAAAAAAAAGTACAAATTGACTGGAAGCAGGTGATTTAAAATTTTGTAATTAAATTTTATTATTGCAAATATGAAAAGATTATTATTTTTTTTTTTATAAATAAATTTTCTCAATATAAAAACAAACACATTTTTGTAGACATTATATAAATCATCGAACAGGATGTACACATGTAGAAATGTTCCCACCGCTAGTCTAGCCGCTAATGAAAAAGACGCTCGTCTCTGGCACTTCTGAGGCTTGGAGGTGAGAACGAGACGTAGGCGGTTCGAATCGTTTGATTGAGGAGCGCACAGAGAACTGGCTTAAGCATGTGCATAAGACGGTTCTGAATACGAGGAACTTTCCCCATGTAAATATTGACACAGCTGTCTGTCTTGCTGTGCACTATAACCATGAACCTCTCTGGACTTATCATATGAATTATGTTTGTCTGTATTGACCAGGAAAAAAAAAAACACTAGTATGTAGGGAATTCTGGGAAAAAGAGCCAGGCTAGAAAGAGAGAATGAGGAGCGCAGTGTCGAGGCATGACCCGAACTGAGAACGAGTCTGAGTAAGGATTAGAGAAGAAAGCGAGTCCAATCCTCTCTCTGGTGTCAGTCCTGTCCATCCTGTCCCTTTAATGCCCTTAAGACCGTAAACACTCGCCCTCGCGCTCGCTCTCATCTCACACTGAGGCGTCACGCTGCCTGGCACCAGTTTAACCATCACGACTAGCGTGGGCCTTAAATCTCCCGGTCGCAGGAGCGGCGTCTCGCACCGGCTCCGTGAGGGGAAATCTTGCGGCATTTTTTTTTAATGGTCTTTCTGTTGAACCTACGTGAAAAACAGCACATGCACGACACAAATTGGCTGGTGTGTTGTGTTTTTTTTTTTTTTTTTTTAAATAAACAAAAATAATGGCTGCTGTGTCCCTGGAGGACTAGTGGTTACGCCTCGGTGCTCTCACCTGCGCGGCCCGGGTTCGATTCCCAGCCAGGGAAAAGACCCCAGCCACCGGGGTGGCACCTGACAGTGCTCTCTCAGCGCCGGTCCCAAGGCCGGATAAAATCGGGGAAGGTTGCGTCAGGAATCCGGCGTAAAACCTGTACCAAATCGGATACGCGGACGGACCAATGATCCGCTGTGGCGACCCCCAACGGGAGAAGCCGAAAGAAGAAGAAGAAAAATAATGGCGTAATTAATTTCTGGTTAATGACGAATAAAAGCAGTAGTTATTGTCACACATACAAGTACAGAACATTTTATATATATATATATATATATATATATATATATATATATATATATATATATATATATATATATATCTTCATATCTTCATATCCTAGCTTGTTAGGAAGCAGAAACAAATGATTTTTGCAAACATCCTACCTGCCAAGTCACATTATCGTCAATCTGTTGGAAGAAATGAAAATTAAAATGAATTGATCAGCATGTGAATTAAATACAAATCCACACGTTTCGCAGGCAGAAAGACTTCGGGGGAAAAAACGCCTCGCATCATGCAGCGGTTTTATTTGCATGCAGATTTGTGGTTATGCTAAACTGACCACATCTACTAACGCAGCTAGCCACTAAAGCGAAACTCCTCTTAGCAAGCGAGGACTTTAACTGTGATGTAGTTGGACGTCTTACAGCGTATTATTCACAGAGAAACTAACAGAAAAGTGTGTAGGGGGAAAAGTGACTCACTGCATGTACAGAGGGTTGGCGTTACTCCGAAGAGTATTTATGTCTGAATATGTTAATAACATTTCTATTATTAATTATTAGCTTTTATGAGATACTGCGATATATATTTTTAAATTATATTTGAATGCAACTGATTTCTTTTAAATCGTTATACTTAATCTTTACAATTCAAATCAGTGTTTTTTTCCTCCTCTTCTGTGTTGTTTTTGCATATGAAAAAATGTAAAATAGATATCTTTCGAAACATTAAATAAAATATCATACTTTTTTTTTTTTTTCTTTTAAAAATTCTACACTACTGCTTTGCTGGGGATATATATATATATTTACTTTTTAAAAATTATATATGTATATCATGATGCAGATCAGGTATTGTAGGAATGCTTTCGAGAATCGTGGTATGATATTTGTGTCAACTTTTATTTTACTTTTTATTGAATGTAGTAATATGAACAGAGTAATATACTTTATAGTACTAATATGTATATAATATATGTACTAATAATACTAGTAATATTTTTGTTGTACTACTTTTTTTTAAAATATATATGAAAATGTACATACCTGCTTTTTATTTTTTATTTTATTTTATTTTTTTTTAATGCTGCAGCTCGATTTCAATCTGATTTCGACTTAAATTCAGTAGCTTGACTGTTTACGTGTGTGTGTGTGTGTGTGTGTGTGTGTATGCAGTGCACAGTACAGGTGAAGCTGGAACTGGGCCACCGCGCTCAGCTGCGGAAGAAGGCCACATCCGAAGGCTTCACACACGACTGGATGGTGTTCGTGCGAGGGCCGGAGAACAGCGACATCCAGCACTTTGTAGACAAAGTCATCTTCCGCCTGCACGACAGCTTCCCCAAGCCCAAGAGAGGTGCGTGTGTTCACTCCCAACACGTCATCACGTCTCACAGGACGTGTCCAGGGCACGCACATCTTTACATTGAAGAATATTCCTTTTAACGTCATCGTGTTGAAAACGAGGAGATGGAGAGCTGAATTCGTATAGAGAGGGGGCGTGGCCTCTGTCGGCCTGCCGTTCCTAATGAAAGGGGGCGTGGCCTCTAGTGCTGTAGCCAGACAGTAATTTCAGGGGGGCAATAAAACGTTCTCTGTAGCCACTGTGAGATCCTGAGTAATGCCCTGATTTGTTTTTGGATGAATAACAGACACTCGAGTTCTACCATCAGCAATGATATTATTATTATTATTATTATTATTATTATTATTATTAACATTCCTGTGTGTGAGCTAAAAAAACACCTTTATGACAGTATGGATAGTGTTGTACAGTAAATGGAGTAGTATGGTTAATGGTGTAGTATTGTAGATAGTGTAGTATGGATAGAGATATATGGTAAATGGAGTAGTATGGTTGGTGGTGTAGTATTGTAGACAGTGTAGTATGGATAGTGTTGTATGATAAATGGAGTAGTTTGGTTGGTGGTGCAGTATTGTAGACAGTGTAGTATGGATAGAGTTATATAGTAAATGGAGTAGTATGGTTGATGGTGTAGTATTGTAGACAGTGTAGTATGGATAGAGTTATATAGTAAATGGAGTAGTATGGTTAATGGTGTAGTATTGTAGACAGTGTAGTATGGATAGAGTTATATAGTAAATGGAGTAGTATGGTTAATGGTGTAGTATTGTAGACAGTGTAGTATGGATAGAGTTATATAGTAAATGGAGTAGTATGGTTAATGGTGTAGTATTGTAGATAGTGTAGTATGGATAGAGTTATATGGTAAATGGAGTAGTATGGTTGATGGTGTAGTATTGTAGACAGCGTAGTATGGATAGTGTTGTACAGTAAATGGAGTAGTATGGTTGGTGGTGTAGTATTGTAGACAGTGTAGTATGGATAGAGATATATGGTAAATGGAGTAGTATGGTTGGTGGTGTAGTATTGTAGACAGTGTAGTATGGATAGTGTTGTATGATAAATGGAGTAGTATGGTTGATGGTGTAGTATTGTAGACAGTGTAGTATGGATAGTGTTGTATGATAAATGGAGTAGTTTGGTTGGTGGTGCAGTATTGTTGACAGTGTAGTATGGATAGAGTTATATAGTAAATGGAGTAGTATGGTTGATGGTGTAGTATTGTAGACAGTGTAGTATGGATAGTGTTGTATGATAAATGGAGTAGTATGGTTGGTGGTGCAGTACAGTATGTAGTTTAGTATGGATAGTGTTATATAGTACATGGAGTAGTACAGTAGACTGTAGTGTGGATAGTGTTATACAGTAACAGAGTAGTTTGGTTGGTGTGTAATTCGTTACTGTGTATTATGGCTAGTGTTATACAGTAAACAGTGTAGTATTATAGGTAGCGTAGTACACTAGGTGTATATAGTTATATAGGAGTTATACAATAAATAGAGTAATACAGTAGGTGGTGTAGTGCACTACATAGTGTAGTATGGATAGATGAAAAACAACTGCGTAATTATAAACAGCTTTGTCTCTGGTGGCCTTCGATGCCTCAGAGCTAACAGTGTTTATCTGTTTAGCAGAAGATGTGTTTGGGCAGTGCTGAATCATATCGAAACGACTCTGAATCATACTTAATTTTTATCTTCCATCAGATAGTTGTTCACATGTGCAGTGTTTTTGAAAATTCCTGTAATAGACTGTTACAGTACATATAATTAAACAGTGAGTTTACGATATTAAACCCGAGCTGCTTCTGGAGATCTTTCATCCCATTGCCTTTAATCCTACTCATAATATAATGTACACACACACACACGTGTGCATTCACACACACATGCATACGTGTCTGTCAGACCTGAGCAGTGTGTGAATATTTGAGTCAGGTGTGTTAGATTAGGTTGTAACTAAACTCTGCAGGACAGATGAGTTCGGAGCCCCAGGGCAAAGGTGAGCTGTGTTGACCTATGAAATGGAGAACAGCAGACTTATTGTGTGTGTGTGTGTGTGTGTGTGTGTGTGTGTGTTTTGGTGTTGATTGCAGTGTGTAAGGAGCCTCCGTATAAAGTAGAAGAGTCAGGATATGCAGGATTTCTAATGCCTATAGAAGTCTACTTTAAAAACAAGGTGAGTGCACATGGTCTGGTTCTACTGCAGTCTCTCTCTCTCTCTCTCTCTCTCTCTCTCGCTTCCCCTCCCCCTCTCTCTCTGCCTGCCTCTTTCTCTCTCTATCTTTCTCTCTCGCTCACCACACACACACACACACCCACACCCACACATCTGCTTCACACAGTTTCCCCTCCTTTCAGGGTCATAGGTTCTTCCTTTTGCCCACATATTGAAGTATTTTATCTCCAGCAGTGTGTATAGAGAGCTCATAGAGATGACAAGCATGCGCTCGCACGCGCACACACACACACACACACACACACACACACACACACACACAGAGAGTGTGTTTGAGTTGAGAGGCGAGATGGAAGTGGCTGATAAACTCTGCACTGGCCTGAAATACACTTCTACAGGCAGCGTGTTCTATCCAGCGCTTCTTATCTAGTGCACTTCCTTCCGGACCATATCACTTACAGCAGCTTCACAAAGAGAACTTTATTAAAAAACTCCGGTCAGGTCCCTGTTTCCCTCGGACACGTTTCAAAACGTGCCCTTCCTTCCTTCCTTCCGAACTTTCTTCTGAACTTCATCCCTTCCTTCCGAACTTCCTTTCTGTCTTCCTTCCGCACTTTCTTCTGAACTTCGTCCCTTCCTTTCAAACTTTTGTCCTCCATCCAGACTTCCTCCCCTGCAAAACGCCCCTCGTCCCTTTGTTCCAGATTTCCCTCCTTCACTACTTCTAAACTTCCGTCCTCTTCCTTGCGAACTCTCCTACTTGCGTCCTTCCTTCATTCCTTTAACGTGACCCTTTTTCCAAAGTTTCCTACCTTACAAACTTCCTAAGTTCCTTCCAAATATCCCTCCTCCCTTTCTTCCAAACTCCCTTACTCAGTTCCTTCCATACTTCTTTTTCCACTTTGTTCCATGCTTCTTTTCTGTCTTCCTTCTTTCTCCGTTCCGAACTTTCTTCTGAACTTCCTCCCTTTCTTACGAATGTCCCTCCTCCCTTTCTTCCAGATTTCCGTCCTCCCTTACTTCCAAACTTCCGTTCACTCTTCCTTGTAAACTACTAAATTTGTTCCTTCTTTGCCTTTTCTTTTTCTTTCTCCAAAACTTCCTTCCCAATGTACCGTGTCTCTTCCTTCCAAATTCCCTTACTCTTTTCCTTCTGATTTCTCTTCTCACGTCCTTCCATACTTCATTTCTCTCTTCCTTCCAGAACGTTCCAAACCTTCTTGATTC